ATGATGGCTGAATACAGGGCAGGACTGGGGAGAGCCCAGGCAATGTCAGTAGGGAGCACAGGCTGTGAGCTTCATCCAGCAGCCTCGATGGAGTCCCCCGTATAGATATGACTCCCAAGCCCTGGCTCCTTTGCCGTGGACACAGCTGCTGAGGTGATGGGGCCCTGTTCTCTTCTGTCCCCCACCCCACACAATACAAGACGGAGGAGCTGGGCCTGCGAGCCCCGCAGTGGGTGCGGGACAAGCTGGTGACCATGTGCATGCGCTGCAAGGAGCCGTTCAACGCTATCACACGCAGGAGGCACCACTGCCGGGCCTGTGGCTATGTGAGTGACCCCCTCTCCCTCTGCCTTCTTGCCAGGCCCAGCCCAGGGGGTACAGGCAGTCTTGCACCCCATTGCCCAACACAGAGCAGCAGCTTGTTTGCAAGGGCTTTCTGAAGGGAAAAAAACACTTGTGGAGAGAGGTGAGCAGGGGCAAGGAGATCCCCTGTCTTCCATCCCAGGGGTTGGAGCTGCTCCAGCCATACTTGGGCAAGAGTTTTGCTCCCTCAGGGCCAGATAAATCCTCTCCTCAGCTCTGCTACCCATGTTGTGGGGAGAGAAGTGACTCCTTTGCCCCTCTCCAAGTATCTGTCAGGGCCCCTTGCCCTGTCCTCACCTGACCGGGGCCTGTCTTGGGGACAGGTGGTGTGTGGCCGATGCTCTGACTACAGAGCTGAGCTGCAGTATGACCCGAATCGCCTCCATCGCGTCTGCCAGGAGTGTTACATCTTTCTGACAGGGCACGTGCTGCCTGAGGCGCGGGAGGGGAAGCAGAAGGGCATCCTGGAGGTGAGATCACAGTGAGTCCTCTCTGTCTCTTGCCCCTGCCTCCTCCTATCTCTGAGGTCTGCTGCTGCTTCTGTCCTGCTCCAACCCTCTCCCTTCATGACCTGTGTCGTGCTGCTGCCTTCAGTTGTGAGATGTGACTTCTGCCCTCAGGCACACAGTAACCAGCCTTTCTGGACTCCCCCTGGACTGCTGCCCCCCCACCTGCTACTGCCAGGGTCATGTGGCCACTCTGTATCCCCACTGCTCCTGGGGAGGCACTGCCCAACATGCCCCCACTCCCTCCTGCACACACCATGCCAAGAAGTGCTCTAGGGAAACCATTCCCAGGGCATTCCCATGGCCATTCCCAAGCTTACAGGAAGCAGAGAGCTGATGAGGGGCAGTGGGGTGTCCCAGAGTGGCCCAGGCACTCTGTGTGGGAAGGGGAGTGGGTGGACAGCATGCCCTCTCCAAGCAGGCTGTGGACATGGCATAAACATACCCAAAGACACCAGTTGGAGAGTTGGCTCTTGCCTCTGAAATCCCCTCTCTGAGCGCAGGCTGCTTCATTGTCCACGTCTGCCCGCAGATCCAGGAGCCAGGGCCTGCATTCACATTGCTTGTATCACAAATGCTTGACCCACCGATCACCCCACCTCTTTCTTCCTGCCAGGGGTGGGGGACAGCACTGGTTCATCCTCAGAGCATGGAGACCTGGGCAGTCATCCTAACTCAGCCACCAATTTGCCAATGACCTCAGGCACATCACTTCTGGCAGGAGGAGATAAAGACCCATAGTTTCCATTTGGGGCAGTGGGAGCTAGTTGAGGGTATTCATCTCTAAATCAGGCCCTTTTCCTCTCTGGTCTCAGTTACCCTGGCATTAGTATCAACTGACAGTAGATCATGGGTGGCTGCCTTGGGGTGCTCAGACACCAAGTGCCAGAGAGGTGCAGGGGGTTGGTGGTGTTGTTATAGGTGCAGCTCACGGAGCAGGGGAGCAAATTTCACAAGACAGTGGCTCTGCCTCTGGGAGTCCGGGGTTAGAAATCCATGATGGGGCTGGTGCTGGAAGAGCTCCATGTGGAAAGGTCCCATGGTGGGGAAGGAAAGCTGGTTTTCTCCCCCTGGAACCACTGTCCTTGCTCGTCCCTGGCACTGCCTTCACTTGCTGGTCACTGAGTGTATTGAAATTGCCCCCATATTCTCATCCTGTATTAGCGGGGCTGGCTCCTGCCCTGCCCCTGGGCTCCTGCCTGTGGCACCTTCCCCCGTGACTTCCCAGGAGAAAGGAGGGCCCCTGTCCATGGTGCTGAACTGGAGCAGGAAAACCCTCCATGCCCACCACTGGACACACAGAAGTTGACACACATGCCATATCTGTACACACAGACGTGCACACGCATGAACATCAGCACACAGGAGAGCCATGTATGTATGCCAGCTTATGTATGGACAAACATGGAGAGCTGGGTATGCGTGGACACACACAAGCATAGATGTAGACATCCACCTACATGGACATCAGTTCATCTATGTGGGCTTTGATAAACTTCATACATGACCATAAGCATAGACACAATAATACACATATTATATGCAGAGGCATCAATGTATGTGGGCACACCAGTACAGATCTATGCACAGGCATTAACACTCATGAGTGTCAGTGTAGTGTGCACACAGATCAACCCAACTACCCATGGATACACACCTCAGTGAGCACGTGCACAGACATTGATGCATGGATATACACTTGTGCATATGCACAGTAAAGAAGTAAGTATATGAATGGTTCAAGGAATGTGATGGGTGACTTTAGCTGAGTATTAAAGTGTCTATGGGGCTGCTGCTTCCTGCTGCAAAGCAGGGACTGAGCAGATTTATAGCCCTCCTAAATCTTTATAACCTGTGAACTCAGACTGTGTCCACTTGATAACCAGTAATGGCGCTCTCAGTCGCACTGCATTGCTCCCCATGGGCTGCCTCCTGGCCCAGAAGCAGGATAGCTACTTCTACAGGACAGAGTGAGAATGCCAGTGAACCTGCTGTTTGCCCCAAGCTAACGAGCCTGTCCATGGCATTGGCTGTCCTCTCTCAGTCAAAGAGGCCATTCCCCTAGAACAGCAGAGTGTGCTTGAGAGCCACCACCAGGAACAGCACCTTGTCTCTGTGAGATCCAGCAAGACCTACAGTGGATTAGACAGTAGGCAGCCCCTGTGGAGCCTGGCTCCCCGTGTGCACAGAGGAACTGCAAAGAACTTCCTTATCTGTTTTCTTGGCAGAAAGAATCTGCAGAAATCTCTGGGCGCAGCCTGATGTGCAGCTTTTTGCAGCTGATGGACAAGAGTGGGAGGGGCATGCGAGGCTGGTTTGTGATTCCACAGGATGACCCCCTTGTGCTGTACATTTATGCAGCCCCCCAGGTAGGTGATGGCTCAGTCCCCTGTTGCAATGGAGGGCTTTTGCAGGGACCAGCTCCAGCCATGCAGCAGAGTCCTGTATCATGAGCTTGCAGGGCCAGGTCGCTGCATCCCGAGATGCTATCTGCACTGAAGGGAAGAGAAAAGACTCCTCTGCTGAGGAGCTTCAGCTTCTGCCTGTTCTCCCTTCCCTTCCAGGATGTCAAGGCTCACACCTCCATCCCCCTGCTGGGCTACCAGGTGAAGGAGCTGTCCCAGGGTGACTCACGCCACCTCTTTCAGCTGACCCAGTCCAAGCAGTCCTACATGCTGGCAGCTGAGACAGAGGAGCTGAAGCAGCGATGGATGCAAATCATAAAACAGTCAGCCAGAGGCAACACTCAGGCTTTTGGCGAAGATGAGGAGGACGATGACTGGTTTGATGAAGTGGAATGACTGAAGCTCTTGGGAGTCATGTTATGAACTAATGACTTCTGATACTGTCCCCAGATGCCTCCTGTCCTTCACTCCAAAGTGCAGGGCTGTCTAGTGGTTGTAGCAAGGGGGTGGAAGCTCCAGAGACCTAGGTGTCCCGTCCACCCAACCTACAACTTGTGCTGTAACCTTGGACAAGTCACTTGAGCCTTCTGTGCCATGCCCCCCACCCTCCTGCCTCCAGACCAAAGGTTGGCAACCTCCAGTCAACAGGCTGGATCTGGCTCATGAGGTTGGATCTAGCCTTTGAAGATCCAGATTGCCCTAGGGCATTGCAAAGGATCAGGCGGCCCACAGCTGTGCCAAGCTGCCCATCCCCTCTGTAGCATCCTCTCCTTCCCTGCTGCTCTCATGCTTGCATTTACCCCCTGCATAGGGGCTGGGGAGCAGTGGTGAAAGCAAGTGTGGGCAGCTTGGGA